ACTTGTCTCCAGATTAGGTTTCCTTCCAGTGCTGTTCATTTTGACATATGCCAGGGGCAATCATCTCTCCCACAGCCCATTTCTATCACCTCTCTCTAAATCATTCAACCTCTACCGGTTTTGAATGCAGACCGTCTCTCCCTACACCTTCCACTCTTCCCCATCAGAAACTCCCCATAAACTCCAATATTATACATAATAACTGGGCCTCATGGTTACACTCAGCTCCATTTGGTAGATTTCTCTCTTCATGCAAAAGAAAGAACAAACATACGGTAAGGGCCTTGTTACACCTTACGCTGTGAGCCACACTAAATGTTGATTGGTGTTAGTGCTAGCTTGTAGTCTGGAGCAGTCACACTCTTAGTCTAGAAACCTTCTCTGACTGTCCCTCACCTGCACAGCTGTGACTTGCCACTAGAGGCTTGGTGAGCAAGGGCAGGACTAGGAGCTGTAGCTGTGAGTTGCCATTAGAGGGCTGGTGAGCCAGGGCAGGTTTCTATCCCTGCTCTACCAGCAGGGGTGTGAGAGATCCTGGGACACTGGAGGACTTCAATTTAGGCATCATATCTGTAGGAACTGGCCACACCTTAGTGGAACAAGAGCTGGGTAGCACAGATCAGAGGTAATCCAGCCCTGGAGTGGTGTAACTTTTGGATGCATAAGGAGGGCTTAAAAGTACTTTCAGGTGTTATTGTACAGACAATTCAGGGGTTTGGAGCTCCAGGAACCGCCTAAAACTGCCATATACTAAGGCCCTATGAGAACATTCATTATAGCTATAGTAGCTAATTGTCCATCAAGAATGACGGATTTCAGGGAGTGTTTACACGCCCACCCCCCATTCACCCTTTGGGGCCGTCCATGTAAAAACTCCATGCTCTGCCCCCAACACCTCCTCCTCCAGCCTCTGGTGCAGGCACTCCCTCCCACTCCCCACCTCCACCTCACAGCAGGGTTTCCACCCCCTCCCTCCCATCTCCCCCTCTCTGCCAGGGGTTGTTGGGACTGGGCAGCAGGGGGGCACTGCCACCGTGACCCAACCCTCCCTTCTGCACTCCCCTGTCCCTCCCCTGCTGTCCAGCCCCAACAGCCACCACCATGACCCCCCCACCCTCCTTCGCCTCCTCCAGCCCCACACCCACCTGGGCCCATTCAACTTCCCTCCATCCCCACTGCCTCCCCCTCCCTGCCAGCTGTAATCAGGGCCAGGCAGCAGGGAGGCACTGCCACCATGACTCCCCCACACACACTTCCTGCTCCTTCCCTCTCTGCCACCCAGCCCCAAGAACAGCTGCCACCATGCCCCACTTCGACTCCCTCCACTTCGCACGCACGCGGACCCATGCAGCCAGTCACTGCCCACCCTCTCAGCAGAGCATGCACACTTGACAAAGAGCATTATAGACAGACAGACAGACAGACAGACAGACAGAGCCCTGTGTATATTGTATATACAAACAAACAAACAAACAAACAAACAAAGTAGACCAGTGACTCTCAACCCTTTTAGACTCAAGGCACCCCTCAGAAAATGCAGGATCATAGCTTTCACTGATTTCTTGGCTACAGAAAAACAGAGCAATTCTTCTATTGCAGAAAACTCAAGAAAGACCACAACAGGTCAAAGTGTTTGACACACTGGATTCTGATTTGAAATGTCTGGGTTTATCTCGAGAAATGTGTAGATGTTTCCATGCCTAACAAATATTACTATTGTGTGGCATTCTGCAACACCCTTAGAAGAATCTCAAGGTGCTGCTGGGTGCTTCAGGATCCTAGTTGAGAATCACTGATGTAGACTGTGGCGGGCCAGTAGGGGGCGCTCCTGTGTTGAGCCGCCCACCTCCCTGCGCCCGACCACCTTCCAGGCTCCGAGTGCCTCCCTTGGGGTGCCTCCCGTCCGGCCGACCCCTTCCCTGGAGCACACCCGCTAGCCTGGGGTTCCCGCTGCCACCATCCAAGGCTCTGGACTCACTTCTGGCTCTGCGCACCTTGGAGAACACAGGCCTGATCGTCCAATGGGTGCTAGACCCAATACAAGCACTTGGGGCACTTCCCCAAGTCAGGGGCTGATTAGGGAAGCCTCCCTTAGTCCACAGACCTAAGGGGCCTCCTTGGCATAATTTAGACCCACCCCTCAATAAGTCTCCCACACCGTCACAAAGGAGAACTTTATTGATGACAGGGGTAGGGC